CTGGTATGCTTCGTTCAGTTACGTATTGCTAATGAGCTATAGTGATGAAAAAACTGAAGATTATTTACTGCAGTACGGCAGGAAGCACATGGAACTCACGTCTCGTACTACTATTATGTACAACAATCATAGAAGGTCAAGAGATTAAATTCTGATAGACGAACCGAGACTTATCAAAATCACGTAAATAAAATGTATATCAAAGATCAGTAAACGGAAAGTCGATTGTTGTGTATCAATGAATAAGGAACTGTACACCCGCCGGAGCGATCGGATCAACAAATGTGAAATATTTCGGATCGAACTACGTACGCCATTACCTCTCCCGCACACAACCATCAACGATCGCGCAAACACCTGATCGGTTCCGGGCCGTTCTCCCCTACCACAAAACCGTACACATATCTGTTACATTAAATATTTTATACATTCAATATTGCGCACAACAGCAAATAAAATAATAAAATAATATGTATAAAACGATCGTACTCGATTCACGCGGCGATATTGTAGGCTCGAGACGATTTATAATATGTTCTTTGCTCATTCTCGTTTGACCAGACCGTGAGGCGATGGCGAAAATACGCGGACGACTCAACACAACGGCACTTCACACTTCGCCACCCTATAAGTTTAACTGAGAAAGCACTATATATACATCACACGGGGCGTGTGTAACGACACGATCATAACAAACGACAAACATAACAATAACGATGACATTGAGAGAACACGGCTTACCTTGTTTGTTGATCACGTCGGCGGGGCACTCGTCGTTGATGCTGTTTTAACGGCGGCGGCGTCGTCGTCGGCGACAATATAAGCTGTGCGAGCAGCGTCCGCGTTGTTGGCAGGCCGTCGACGATGATAACCACGCGCGCAAACACACACACTCACACTCGATCAACACACGCACGCCGCGACGAGAACGGTCGTCGTCGCGCACTAATAATGCACCGGATTCACGTGGCGCGCGACCGCAATATCGACCGTCGTCGAGAATGGTAGCACTAACTCGTCCAAGCATCGGATCGCGGAATCCGGACGGCGAACGATGATAATAACGCACAATAAT